TTAGCCTCCACTATTTTTTACCCCAAAATCTATATTGAAAAGAAACTTTTATATTTGGACGTTTGTTTCAATCGTCTTAGCACAGACGCATAAGTTGGAAAAGGTGACAAAAAAATAACATTTTGTTACTGGCAACTTCTCCAGGGTCGAGACTGAAAATGGGCAAGGAAAGATAACTGTGTGTTTTTTAATAATACTTATGTATTGATTTGATTTTGAAAAAACAAACAAAAAACAAACAAATAAATAAAAAATAAACAGAAAAAAAATAAAACTGTGGAGGTTGTATTGACGCGAACCGGCTGCTCTCCCCAGGCAAGTACAGGTGCCGATGGTGTCGGTCACACACTGCTATGCCTGCAATCCCCATTCTGGATAACCGTCTGGATTACCGCCATCATAACTCTCCTAAAGAATATGACACCAATCCTCTGTGTCCCAAAGAAGAGCATGCCAATTAGCCCGTCAATCTCGTCGTAGTAGAGATGCAAGTGAAAGGATCGCAGCTGCAGGACAAACAATTGTGTTCGAGCAGCTCGTTCATTATCTTCATCCATTCCTTCAAACCCGGGAGAAGAAGAACAAATCACAGAAGAGTCAAAGATCACATAAAAACTTTCGTCAGATAAACATTTAAGGGAACTTGAAAAAACAGAAACGGCACAAGTTTGTCAAAGGTAGGAACAATGAACTGAAATCGCTTACGTTTATTAACAATGCTGAAGATAATGATCCTTTTCTTAGTACTTCTGTTGAAGCCTTTATAAGCACCAGCGAGGTTTGTCACCTAAAACAGTAAGGGAGGAGATGTCAAAAGCAGTTTCAATAGGGCTTTGGAGCGTGATGTCACGGGGGTGGGGCACAATCCTTGCGGGCCTGCAAGGATTGTGCTGGAAGTCAGGTGTAGTACGATTTTAGTTTCAAATTTTATATAATTTTCGAAACTAAAATGCAGTTGTTAGAGTGAATTGTTCAATGTTGTCATTTTTATGCTTACCATCTCTACATTGTTTTAACTCTGTGATGAAAGGAATTTCCTTATCCATACTTATTAACCATATCCCAGACCGGCCCAGCCAATTCCAGTTTCCAACAATGGCTACTATTACTGCAGCTACTTAGTTTTAATATTACTCTTATT